TTGCTCGCGAGGGAGCGGGAGCGATACCAAATCCAACAGATTCTCGAGCTCGATCTCGAGGAGTTGCAGGTCGAAGAAGTCGACGAATTCCACGATTCCTCCTCCGACGATAACAGCAACAACAACCACCGCGATCTTACGTAGTTTCCCCTCTTTCACTTCATTCCTTTGTCACTTAGCTATATCACCGTTTGGAATTTTTGTTGTGTGGTGCTGACGGTTTTTTGTTCATGCTGTTTGGAATGCGATAGTACTGGCTATGGTAGTGCAGGCGTTGTCCCGGGCGAATTCACCTACAACACTTGTATAGCATCCTTACATACATATCTGGGTGGTAGGCGTTGTCTGTTTGAATTGGTTCCGTGTTCTTCTCTCTGTACTCTATGTATGGGTTCCAATTGGTTTGCTTGATTTTAATTTGATATTGCTTGTGTGTCTAGATGTTGAAGACACGCACCACAGGACGACTTTACTGGATGGTGGGGCTGTATTGAACCTTCCACTTTTCTATCTTCAAGGTATCTGTGTCATCCTTCATGAATTTGAGTATAGCGGTTTGGTTTTTAGATATGGGGAAACTCTTTTATAAACATATAGACATTTTGTATGTAGGGTCATGCTTACGCATTTTAACCATATCTGTTGCGTGATGAGGAACTTTTCCTCTAAAAAAGTTAGAAATTTCAAAAGAGGCTTCATGGTAGTTCATTTTTGACTTGCTTATATGTACTCATTGCAGTTTTTATTTGTTTTCCCCCGCTCTCTTTCTTTTATGTATTCTTTCCCCTGATTTGTTTATATGTTTGGGTTGGATATGTGGTTATCACTTATCAGCCTTTTCGTTCTGTGCTGCATTTTGGGGTGTTTTTGCCTACTTAATGTTTGAATTGTATTCTCATAAATTATGGTTAATTACATTCTTAAAAATTGCCAAAGATATTACCTCTAACATAGAAACTGGAAAGTTGTTACCTTGTAGAACTTATATTCTTATTGTCATTGTGTTGTCCTGCATGTAAGTGTTAAGTTATTGGAAGAAACATTCTCTAATCCTTGCAATATTCAGGAGTTGTGCTCTTTCCCGGAGCTACTCTTCCCTTGAGAGTTATTGAATCCAATTTTGTGGCTGCTGTTGAGAAATCTTTGAGCCGAGTTGATGTTCCTTACACCATTGGTGTGGTAGGTAAACTCCAGTCATACTGTGGAGTCTCTTGTCGTTTTTCTCCAAACACATGAATCTAACAAGCTTGTCCATTCTCTTTCCAGATCCGAGTTCACAGTGATACTGAAAATCGTATTATGAAATCTGCAAGCATTGGGACGACTGCAGAGGTATATCCTCTCAATCAGTATACTATTAACAAATTGAAACAAAGTTATTTGCTTTTGCATATTAACTGTAAGATATACAATCGATTTCAATCTTCAAGATTATGGGATAATGAATAAACTGCCTGTCCGCAGGCAAGAGTGAGTCCTAAATAGATATGCAAATATGGTAGGTGTTTGTTAGGATAGAATATAAGAAGTTAGTTAGCGATAGTTATAGTTAGTTAACGAGCTTTAGAGAATTAGCATACTTAGAGATTCACACGATTTTGGTTGTTGTTGGAGGGTTTCTGGAGACAGACCAAGGAGGGCAAATGGGTATTATGTGATAAAGGTCTGATTGTAGACCTGATGTTCTTAGCTCAAGTTTAGGATTGTATGTGGGTTCTACAACTCAAATGCATCTTAGCAATGGGATCTCTGAGATATGGTAACTATCAATGTCTACCAACCAATGAGATTAATGAGCCAACCCCAAGTACCTAACAGAAAGAAGGAAGTCTGGAGCACATCCCTTGTTTTTTAGTGCACAAAACAAAGATTCGCACTTGAACAGTAACAACCTGTCGAGTTGAGGATGCTCTGGAGATTGAAACACAAAATGGGCACACAAGTAGGAGCTGGAAGACTAAGTCAAAGTTAGGAACACATTAGATATGTCATCATGCCCCGTACAGTGGCATCCTAGTGGAGGGAATTTTTTTCTCAACTATTATTGAATGAACCACTCTATCGGATAGGATTGCCCAAATTCATTCTTTTACTATTCCTACAAGCTAGAACAATATAAACCAACAATGATTCTACAAATGTTGCCATTAATGACCATGGTAGCTCCTTAACAACATTGGAAATTATAGGAGCCAAGCTTATACAAATGATTGAGCGTGGAGATATTATACAACAACAACAACTGCGCCTTATCCCACTAGGTGGGATCGGCTACATGGATCAACTTTCGCCATAATGTTCTATCAAGGACCATGCTTCTATCCAAATCATTAATTTCGAGATCCTTTTTGATAACTTATCTTATAGTCTTTTTGGGTCTTCCTCTTCTTCGAATTGTTTGTCTTCTCTCCATCTGGTCAACTCTCTTTACTACATAGTCTACAGGTCTTCTCTCTACATGTCCAAACCACCCAAGTTTATTTTCCACCATCTTCTCTACAATAGGCGGTACTCCAACAGTCTCTCTAATAAGTTCATTTCTAATTTTATCCTGTCGAGTCTTACTACACATCCACCGCAGCATCCTCATCTCCGCTACACCTACTTTATTCTCGTGTTGGTTCTTAACCGCCCAACATTCTGTTCCGTACAAAATCGTAGGTCTTATCGCATTCCGATAAAACTTTTCCTTTAGCTTGAGCGGTACCGTTGTATCACATAAAACACCCGATGCCTTTCTCCATTTTATCCATCCAGCTTGAAAACGATGATTTACATCCCCTCTATTTCTCCATCATTTTGTATTATGGATCCAAGATATTTAAACCGTGTGACTTGAGGGATAATATGATCTCCTACTTTCACCTCTAAGTTAGAAACTCTGCTTCTTTTGTTGAACTTACATTCCATATACTCCGACTTACTTTTGCTTAGGAGATATTATGAGATGAATTAAATTGGAGGGAATCATTCACTCTACAGTAGCTACAGTAATGCCAAAGTACTCTATTTGTTTTTTCCGTTTTCAACCTTGGGAGCAAGGTTGAATTTATGCCAAATCCTGATAACTTAAAATACCAAATTATAAGATTCGAATGTTCTACACTAATTAAATTATCATATTTGCCAAACCATTACACTTTTGTAGTTCTATACATTAATACATAGAACGTTGAATCTTATGCAAATAAAATATCAATTAATCTTGTAATAATTATTTTTCTACATGATATATTTTTTCTATACATCCAACTTGAATTATGAAGTCTTTGGTTGTATTACAATTCCATGTACTTTACAAAGTTTATGTCCGTAAAGTTCTGTTGCTTGCCGAATGTAATTCTGCATAACCTGTCTGATGCAGCTGAGGGGCTGGGATATGCAGAGCCGAATTACTTATATCTTAGTATTTTTTTTTGGGATAATCCACACATCTTATTTGTTAATGCAAGAAAACCTGATTTTCGTATTCAGCATTGATGGGGGTTAACAGAGTTCATATGTATTTATAACTCACAATCTAGCCATAGTTAATCAAATTATTGCATCGACCATTTTGTATTGCTTGCTAAACCTATCTCTACAGATTCGACAGTACGGGCGCCTAGAAGATGGTTCCCTTAATTTGGTTACTCGTGGCCAACAACGATTTCGCTTGAGACGGTGTTGGATTGATGTGGAAGGAGTGGTTAGCATATTATCACGTTTACTGTTTTTTTCTTTTAAAATCTAATCTTTACAAGATTTTATGTTGGTAAATATTGATTGCTTTTTGTCTCTTTTCTTTCATTGGTTGGGGTGGTTCTTCTTAGCCTTATGGAGAGGTCCAAATAATTGAGGAAGACATACCATCGCGAACTCCAAAGGATGCTTTTGGAAAATTAACCCCCCTAAGTAATCTGCCTTGTAACCGTGCCGCCTCAAGTGTGTTGTCATCCAAGTATTCTGTTGATGGTCAGGGTTCCAAAAATGAGGAAAGTGATACAGAAGATAGCTTTGAGAATGAACTTTCACCAGCAGCGAGAAGAATCCATCAATCACTCATTCGTTCCAATTATGAATATGACGAATCAGCAAGCAGCGGTGATGATAGATTAACAGATGAGTCGGATCAGGAAATTAAATCCATTCTAGATGACCCAGACACCTTAATGCTAGCTGACCATGAAAAAGATTCAGAAAATATGGATTCTAGAATTGGGAGCTGTTCCTCTTCTGGAAAACAGTCCTCCATCAGAGAAGAGCTTAATTGGTGTTCTAAAAATAAAGACCCCTACTCCTCACATAGAATTTCAAGAGCATTCTTGCCTGGTTGGGTGTATCGTATGTTTGACTCCTATTGGCTTGCACAAAGGGCTGCAGGTAGCTCTTCCTTGCTCCTTCTAACTCATTATCAAGCCATTTTTTAATGTTAAAAACTTAAATGGACGTATTTATAATATTACTATTTTTAGTTGCATTAAGTCTTGTTTTTATTTTCTGCATGTTGATTAATATGTATATTTTTTAATTTCAAAGATCAATAATCTTAATGGAAAAGTCTTATGAACAGTTCATGCACTCGTCAGAATGTCTAGAAACAGTTTCACCGAATTGACAATACTCATAAATCTATGCTTATCCCTATTTTGATATTTGTTTTAGGATGAATTTTATCCTCACCTCGACTAATGAATGGAAGCACTCTTATTTCTAGAGTATATCTATTTGCAAATTTAAATTACAGTTATTAATCCCGGATAGCGGAGCGGCCGACCCCGGGGAATGGGAAAAGTGGGAATAGAGGGATCCCGGATAGCGGGATAACTTTTTGTATACTAATAATTATATAATAATCTATAAAATATATGTCACGTAATACTAAACTAATTTCGCAACACTCATAAAATATTTATAAAATCTAATGTCAAACAAAAAGCAATGCTTAATCAAGATTCAAAACATAAAGATTCAAATTCAAACTTAGTACTATTATATGAAAATTCAAGCAAACATAGAAATCATGTAGCATCATCAAAATATTCCTCCAATTCTTCATCTTCAACTTCTTCAACATATTCCTCCAATTCTTCATCTTCAACTTCTTCAACATCTTCCTTCAATTCTTTATCTTCAACTTCAACATCTTCCACCACTTGTTGTGCCATTGGTGCTCTAGGTGTCATTGTTGCTCTTGGTAAAATGTTGCTATTGGTGCCGTTGTTGCTTGAGAAGTACTTTCAACTTCAAGTTGCCTTGTTGTTCTCCTAGTGTAGATTATAGGCTCATTAGCCCCACTAGCATCGGCAATTTGACTCCAAGTTATATCATGATTTGGATGAACCAAGTCTTCACCATCATCTCCTACATTTTCCATCTCTCCCACCAACCATTCGGTGTGGAAATTAATTTCGTTAAATTCCATAGGATCAATTTTATTTCGAATTTCAAACCTCTCTACCAAAACATGATTATACTTGATAAACACCAAGTCTTACAATCTTTGATGTTCCAATTTATTTCTCTTCTTGGAATGAATCTAAAATACAATAATTTGAAGTATTAATTTAATAATACTTGCGTGTTAGATACTTTAATATCCTAGTAAAAAAATTAATACTCACATGCTCAAAGATGTTCCAGTTACGCTCACATCCGAAGCACTGCAACTCAAACTCAACACTTTAACAACCAACAATTGCAACTCCGGAGTTTCGGCTCCATAAGACTTCCACCACTCAGCTGCAAGTAATTGTAAAAAATCATTCCATATACATAACACAAAGTGAATCATATGTAAAAAATCAAAAAATCATTCCATCTTACCTGGAGCTAATGTTGACCTTTGTCTAATTGCTGCTCTTATACCAAAGAGACCCGTAGTACCCGTGTATTGTGACAATTGTTCTGAAATCAAATCTTCCACTGCATCTTTCACGAAGTGTCTCAATGCACTTACGGAGGCCTCTCACCAATCTACAATTATTCTCAATTTCGGATTTAGAATAATAATATTCAGGATTAAGATAGTGACCTGCAGAATGTAGCGGATGATGAAGTTGACACTCCCATCTTTCATCAATGATTTCAAATACGACTTTGTACTTGCTTGAATTTGAACTAAAAGCTTTCTCAATTGATTCCTTCGCTACCCCCATTGCGGCATATATGTATCCCATTGCGGGTTTCCTTTCATTATCAACCATTCTTAGCACATTTACAAGAGGCGCCATGCACTTAAGAGTGTAGAGAACATCATTCCAAAATGATGTCGTAAGTATAGTAGTAGCTGCCCTTTGTCCTTTAGCATCTTTGGCACACTTGGAACTCATCCATTCTTCACAAAGGAACATCTCTCTAAGCTTGCCTTTTAGTTCTTGCATCCTTTGTAGACAAAGGAAATGGGTAGCAAACCTTGTCACTTCTTGTTTAACCAATTCAACATTACCGATAGTCTTTCTCATTAGATTCAAAGCAAAAGTATGGTTATAAATGTAGCCCACAACCTTAACCCCTTTTTGTATAACCTTTTGAACCTTTGGATTTTGCCTATGTCTTCTAACATAAGGTCTATACAATACAATGGGCAGCACATGGAGTCCAAAACATGTGAGGCCTCTTCAAGCACAATTCTTTACCCGCCGCTACATAATTACTTCCATTGTCGATAATCAATTGAACAACATTTTTTTCACCCGTTTCCTCAATAAAAGTGTCCAACAACTCGACTAGCTTTTCCCCCGTCTTGGCATAGTTAGAAGCATCAACACTTTTCACAAACATGGTCCCCGTCGGACAATTGACCAATAAATTAATCAATGTTCTATCTTTTCTATCCGTCCAACCATCCGACATAATTGAACATCCATATTTATTCCTTTGCACCTCTTGGTTTTTCAACAAACCTTTTGTATATTCCAACTCATTTCGAAGGATTGGAACCCTGAGTTCATGATAACTTGGCGGTTTCAAATGAGGACCATAACTTCCAACGGCTTCCAACATCAACTTAAAAGCTCTTGCATTTGCTACGTTACAAGCAACTCCACACGTATAAAAAAAGCGACCAACATATTGGATGGTTCTTGCCCTTGCTTCTTTATCACACGCATCATTGATGCTTGTGTCCTTACTCTTCTTATACACCAAATCCAATGGTCCCTTAGTCCTATTGACAGCCATTGAAGAGGTCTCACTCTCAACAATCCTCTTTACGGTTCGAATTCTACGTATTTCCTTAATATCAATGGTATCATCTGCATCTAATTGCACCGAAACCTCTTGTATTCCTTTCTTAATTCTCTCTTTCTCAACCATATCAGCACATAATATAGCCTTAACATCTTCGAGTGTTTTCGTGCAAGAAAATTACATCACTGGTAATTGCTAATTGATGCCTTTTGGCTCTACTTATTCCCCCACTGCTGGTTAAATTACAAAAATCACATGTCACACTCTTCTTGTTATTCAAATCCTTCAAATGATTGTATTTCCATCCTATGTCCTTACTATTGGTTGGTTTGAACGTTGGAGCACATGAAGCAACCAACGCAGAATTCGGTGTCGACGAAGAAGCTACTATATTTTTCTAGAAAAGAAATAAAAGTAGAAACAGAGAGTGAAACAGAGATGAGAAAATAGAGAGTGAAACAGAGATGAGAAAATAGAGAGTGAAACAGAGAGTTGAAACAGAGATGAGAAAACAAAGAGTGAAATAGAGATGAGTGAAACAGAGATGAGAAAACACAACACAGTACGAAAGAAGTATATTACTTGAGGCTGGCTGAGAGTGAAACGGAGAAGTGGAACGGAGAAGTCGAACGGAGAAGTGGAACGGAGAAGTAGAAGAAGGGTTGCTGGCTGCTGCCTGCTGGAACGGCGGAGAAGTGGAACGAAGAAGTAGAAGAAGGCTTGCTAGCTGCTGCTGGAACGGCGAAGAAGTGGAACGGCGGAGAAGCAGAAGATGGAAAAATAGGGCACAAGGAGGAAATAGGGCACAAAGAAGAATATGAGAAGTAGAAATCTGTTTTAAAAACTATTTTAAAACATGGGCAAATAGGTAATTTTGTCCAAAAAAAAAAAATAGCAGACCAGATCCGCGCCGCCCGGGAGATGCCCACTATCCACGACCTGGTCTAGCGGCGATAGCGCCCGCGATCCTCTATCCACCACCGCACCCATGTGCGCGTGCGGTAGAGCCCCGCTCCGGTCTGGAGCGCCGCGATAGCAGCCGCTATGGGCGCTATTAACAACTCTGATTTAAATAATGGGTCCTTTATGCTTTCAGAGTATCTATTGATCAGAAGCCTTCGGCAATGTTTTTTTAAATCAAAGCTGAAAGCTCACCAGAAGGCCTCAGCCCTCACTTGTTGTGCACATTGCCATAATTTTCTGATTAGAGCTTTTTAGAGTAGGAGAGAGATTATACTGAACACCTATTACTTTCCTTTAGAATAAGAAGCGTTTGTCAATAATATATCACTGATATTTGTTAATTAATCTAGCTTAGTGTTTTGGTACAATAAATGGGAGCCTTGGTGCAATGGTTGGCGTTCTTGCCTTGTGACAAGATCACAAATTCAAGTCATCGATCTATTGCAAATGATATGGCTGCTACAGTAGATCTCTAACAGGTCTGACCCTTCCCTAGACTTCACATTAGCATCAGCCAAGAGCTTCATGGCACCAGGTTGCCCTTTTTAGTGCTTTGACACAATTTACATATTAATTAATTAAGTGGGTAGCAGTGAGTATTGCATTTGCCCAAAAAAAAAACCTTTGGAATTTTCATCTCAAACAATAAAGCTCAAGCAACTTCAGTTAAGTGTTTGTTTTTGCGCAAATGCAATACTCACTACTATCCACTTAATTAATTCGAAGAATGCAAACATTATTACTTCAGAGAATGCGAACATGGCAATTAAACTGGGTGCGGATATCTGCACAAAAATATAGTAAATAGCCTAGATCTGGCTTTATTAGATATAACCAAGTTGCCAGAGAAAAGTCATCAACAAAAGTAACAAAATACTTATAATCAAATTTTGAGGTTATTGGACAAGGACCCTAAACATCATAATTAAACGATGCTTGAACCCTTTTATTTAGACGAGGCAGGGTTAGGTTTTCTTTTATGAAGCAAAATTTTTTGAACCCTAATAGGCTTTAGATATCATGTAGAAAGAGAGAAAAAATATGAATAATCAATCAGATATACTCCAATGTGTAGTAACCCTCATATTTATACTAATAGGTTAAAAGATACTACTTGCATCCCTAAATATAAGACTCTCTAGTGTAAATCACGGAAATTAAAAAAGTTGTTTGAAGTATTAATTTTGTTGACTGTTTGTATAATTTTACAAATTTATCTTAAAGAGGGAGAATTATTTAATGTTTATAAAGAGTATTTAATGCAGATTGCAGAAAAATATGTATATATAATTAGGGGTATACGTGTAAAAAAATAATTAATGCACCTTGAAATGAAATGTGAAGAGGGTTTTTAGAAAAAAAGGGACAAGAAATAAACTTAATAGTCTCTTATAATTAGAGACATAGCTAGTAATATATAAGAAAGAGAAATGGGCTAAGCCCATGTACTTAATACTAAACTTTACTAATATATTATATTATAATATAGTAACTCTTAATACTCTAAAATTTAACAGTAGTATTCATGATCTGTAGATATGTGGAAGCAAATCATTGGTGCACCAAACATGGATGCTCTTGTTAAGAAGCCTGATGTTTTATCATTTTCTATTGCCTGTAAAATACCTGTTTCTGAATCTACAAGGCAAGAGCTTTTGGATATTGATGGTATCTCATATAGATTGCGAAGGGAAATTGAACTACTAGAAAGCATTGATCTTATTCAATGTAAAATCTGTCAGGTAATCATCGTCAACAATCCTCATAATATTGTGTTTTTCAATTATTTATATAGGATATTTTAGTATAGTATAAAAGTATTAATAGGATATGTTGAAGATCAGCAAAGAATCTGTTGTGCAGATTCTGTTTTTGTATATATCATAACTGCAGTTTTATGTAAATTAATTAGCTGTCAGTTTGATGAAATATACAAATATATTTCTACATGGTATTAGAGCACGATCTGAACCATTCTCAAATTAGCGCCGTCAAACCATGGACGATTCAAAAATTAACACATCACTCAAGATGGAGACTGGATCTTTTCCGACTAGCTCACACGACGGAAAATCCCGTTCCTTGTGTGATCATTGCAAGAGGCCTCGCCACACCAAGGAAACATGTTGGATCATACATGAAAAACCTTTGGAAGCCAATCAGTTCAAAAGGAAGGAAGAAAAAGGTAACACAACCTTTAACCATCGAGAAGCCGAGGTAAATTCTAACTCATCTCCATTCAGCCAAGAACAAATGGAGGAAATTGAAAACTCCTTCAGCAGACTATGCTATCTGCAGAAAAAGTTGGTACTACTAATGTTGCCCAAAAAGGTAATTATCTATATGCTCTAAACACTAGAAAAGAAGAAACAAAATCATGGATCATTGACTCAGGAGCTTCAGATCACATGACTGGTGATTTTACGTTGTTTAGTAGTTATTCTCCTTGTCCCTATAACTATACTGTTCAGTATAACTATACTGTTCGGATAGCTGATGAGACTCATTCTAAGGTCATGGGTAAGGGATCAATTATTATTTCTCAAAATATTACTCTTGACTCAGTTCTATTTGTGCCAATACTCGATTGTAACTTGTTGTCCATTAGTAAGATTACCTGGGATTTGAAACGTGTTGCTAAATTCTTCCCTAATTCGTGTAAATTTCATATTTTGGAGTCGGGAAAGACGATTGGCAATGCTGAAGAGTGTGCGGGACTCTACCTTCTACAAGTTAGAAAAAAAACAGAAGAAAAATCCAAGGAGCTCTCTTATGTGGCAGCAACGGTTCAAAATAGTGAGAATTCTATAATGTTGTGGCACTATAGATTAGGCCAACCAAGTTTCAGGTACTTGGAAAAGATTTTTTCCTCATTATTTAATAAAAATCAGAAGCAGTTTCAGTGTGAGATTTGCCAATTGTCTAAACATAACCCGCAACCATTACCCGCTCCAATCCTACAAACCATCGAAACCCTTTTCATTAATTCATAGTGATGTATGGGGACCATCTCGAGTTCACAATATTACTGGTTCGAGGTGGTTTGTCACCTTTATCGTTGACCACACACGCGTCACTTGGGTGGTTCTAATGAAGGAAAAATCAGAAGTAGGGAGAATATTTGAAAATTTTCATAACATGGTACAAACACAATTTCAAAGCAAGATTCTAGTACTCAGAACCGACAATGGTTGTGAGTACTATAACCTTTTCTTAAATTCCTATCTCCAAAAGGTTGAAATTGTTCACCAAAGCTCGTCTGTGGACACCCCCCAACAAAATGGAGTTGCGGAAAGGAAGAATAGACACCTCTTAGAAGTAACTAGATCAATCATGCTAGCCAGTAATGTTCCAAAACAATTTTTGGGAGAAGCTATCCTTTCGGCAACGCATCTCATAAACAAAATGCCTTCTCATATCCTTGACTTTAAAACCCCTATTTCCACACTTCGAACCTTTTTCCCAACTAGCAAGATTTTTTCTTCCGTTCCACAAAATATTTGGATGTTCAGTTTTTGTCCACAATCTCAATTCTCACCGTAGTAAACTAGATCCAAAATCCATCAAGTGCATTTTTCTTGGCTACTCTCCTCACCAAAAAGGATATAGATGTTATTCTCTCCAAACAAAAAAATTCTACCATACTATGGATATCACTTTCTTTGAAAATCAGCCTTATTACACCAAAGTTGGCATTCAGGGGGAGCAATCACACTTATATCCAACTAAAAGTTCAAAATACCAACTTTTGGCAGTTGAGGAAATCGAACCCACACAAATAGTACCAGACCAGACCCCAAATACTCAATCCGAAGCTGCACAAATGTTACCAAACCAAACCATTGATACTCAACTAGCCGAACCAATAGCCAGCCCAGTTGAAAGGACCATCGAAGCTGCACAAATGTTACCAAACCAAACCATTGATACTCAACTAGCCGAACCAGTAGCCAACCCAGTTGAAAGGACCACCAAAGCTGCACAAATGTTACCAAACCAAACCAAACCATTGATACTCAACTAGCCGAACCAATATCCAACCTAGTTGAAAGGACCACCGAAACTGAATCAGAGATGATTAATATTTCAACTACATCTTAGCAGAACCAAGGACGAAAAGCACAAGAGGCTATTTGGAAGAACAAGACTTATGAAAGGAGAAGGAAGGAAGTAGAGTCAAGCACAACTCCAATGCAAAACCATGAGCCCAACCAGGCTCTTGAAAATGAAGTTCCCACAGGTAATATGATCTCTAACCCTAAACATGTTGGTATAAATGCAACAATTAGTGATATTCCTATTGCAATAAGAAAAGGGGTGAGAGCTTGCACTTATCACCCTATTGAGAGATTTGTCTCCTATGGAAAATTGTCACCAAGTTACAGGTCCTTTGTAGCAGCGGTTGACAACATTGAAATTCCAAAGAATATTCATGAAGCACTGCGAAAACCTGAATGGGCAGCCGCTGTAACAGAAGAAGTTAAAGCGCTTATAAAAAGTGGCACATGGGAAATTACATCTATACCAGAAGGGAAGAAAGCAGTTGGATGCAAGTGGATATTTTCAATTAAATACAACGCTAATGGAAGTATAAATAGGTACAAAGCCCGGTTAGTTGCAAAAGGATTTACACAGTCATATGGGGTGGATTATGAAGAGACATTCACTCCCGTAGCTAAACTCAATTATGTCCGGGTCATATTGTCTTTGGCCGCAAATCTAGATTGGCCACTACATCAACTAGACATAAATAATGCATTTCTAAACGGGGAGTTAGAAGAGGAGGTATATATGCAAATACCTCTGGGACTTGAATCACCCAACACCTCAAATATGGTTTGCAAGCTCCATAAATCCCTATATGGCCTCAAACAATCACCGAGAGCATGGTTTGACAAATTGACCAAAGTTGTCAAGCAAGATGGTTTTGTTCAATGCCAAACAGACCATACTATGTTCAAGCGCTTGGTGGATGGTAAGATAACTCTATTTATTGTCTGTGTTGATGACATTGTTATTACAGGGGATGATTATGATAAAATAGCACAGTTGAAGAGTTTACTAGCCAAGGAATTTGAAGTCAAGGATTTAGGTCAGCTCAAATACTTTCTAGGGATGGAAATTGCTCGGACAAAGGATGAAATTTATGTTTCTCATAGGAAGTACACTCTAGACTTCAAGAAACCGGGATGCTTGGATGTAAAGTTGCGAACACTCCTATGGAACCAGTAAAAAGAAGTGAAGAGGAGAGTGCACTAACGGGTAAGGAGAGATATCAAAGTCTAGTTGGGAAACTAATATATCTTACTCGTACCAGGCCAAACATTGGTTTTGCTGTAAGTATGGCTAGTCGGTACATGTCAAACCCAACTGAGACTAACATGATTACAGTTAATAGATTTCTTCAATACCTTAAAGGTACACCAGGCCGATGACTTTATTTTCAGAAGAACTCAAACAAAGGCATTGAAGTTTATACTGATTCTGATTGGGCAGGGTGTTTATCTGACAGAAAATCCACTACAGG